TACTCACAAAAGATAAAAAAGATTAAATGTCATATTTTAAACCAGGGTTGTTATAGTTAACTCAAACAAAACTATTCAAATAAAGATGAATTAAAACAATATAATATTTGATGAAAAACTTAGAAAAATAGAAATAAATAAGCTTAAGTTGAAGAACTAAAATTTCTAAAAACCAAAACTTTGTTGTGGCTTTGTCAGTTTTATTTATTCATTCATTAATTTTCCATCTCTTAGCTTTGACAGCTGTAACCTAATTGCTGCACTAATTAATGTTTTTTTTTCTATTTATTTTATTATCATTAGCATTTTTAATGCTCCCTCGGTCCTGTATGTTTCAGTGACCATAGTCTACCTCTCTTTCTTTCTCACAGTCTGGTCCAGTGTACTTGACTGAAGATTTCGGGGCCCTTCAGCTGAAACAATATAAATGTTTGTTTAGGTCAGTGTTGTGTGTGTGCCTATGTTAGCTGACAAGGTTCATTTCATGCCAGCTATTCAGTCATCCTTTATAGGTCCGAGGCAGTGAAATCCACACATAGTAAGTTTACTTGCACAGTTACAATCTAGTAAAAACAGGGTTTTTGTGTATTCGAGCTACAGCTTTCATCTGTCTGTCCATGTATACATAACACAATACGTAATCAAATACTTGGATGATTAAATACACATCGAATGTCACTTTTGTCTCTTGGAGCAAGCACACAATGTCAATTGTAGTCTGATTAATTTGTATACATACTGAACGAAGCCAAGCTACAATCACATTATAGATCTGTTATCGACTGTGCAAAAATCAGACAATGAGATTTTACAAAAGATTAATCATTGTTTCATTCTGACAAACTTTTAAAGTGCATGTAAAAACAAAGGTTCCAAATGGGGGGGGGGTGTTCGCTGTGATGCTATAGAAGAACCATTTTTGGTTCCCCAACGAACCTTTCAATGATCAGTTCTTGAAAGAACCAATTTTCTTTGTGTTAAGAACGTTTTAATAATCTAAAGGACCTTTTCCACTGTAAAGAACCTTTGTGCAATGCAAAGGTTCCATGGATGTTAATGGTTCTTCATGAAACCATGGATTCCAATAAAGAGCCTGCGTTACTGTCTTTGGCTTTAAAGAGTACAGATACTGATTAAGACAGATTAGACTCTCCTTCAAGGTCTAGTTCCTCCATTTTAATTATATTTTCTTAAAACATCTGTGGTATGCTCAGGTATACACACCTTAGCTAGGCTGTTAAGGCATTTTCTTCTTTATAAGAGTCATGTATATGGTTTGAAGGCAGGTGTTAGAGCAGTCAGGCATACATTTGCCCTGGGCTTCACTTCCACTGGCTTTTTTAGCAACCTAGCTAGCAGTTCACATACACAGTGACTGCCAACCTCTCTAAAGCTATTTTAGTATATATCTCAATCTTAAAAAGTTTGTAATAATATATCAAATAATAATTTCAAACAATTACCACAAGTTGATTGACACCACTTCAGTGAATTAACACTAAGACAAGCAGGCAAATTTATTGTTATAAGCCATCATGCTAGCTTCTGCAGAAGCTCAGTAATCCAAGGCAATAATTAAATTTATTCTCCACACTTTTTAATTTCTCTCCTCATATCACAGAGCTTAGCAAACGCAAGCCCTTGGAAATTAATTTTAAGCGCTGAAAAAGACCAAGCCAAAGTCAACAGTCCAATCATCTCTCTTGATGCAGTTTGACTTACTTAAAATTAACATTTCAACACCTGCACCAACAGCAGATAAAGTCCTGTCAATCCAGCCACCTTTCAGAAATACAAGAAAAACATTTCTGTCAGATTGTGTGATGGATATCCGCTACGTCTGCTGAAACCACTAAACATCCATGTAAAACATGTGTTTTCTTTTCAAATTGCAATGGCACCGAAGCAGCTAAACAGATGGCAAATGCAGTTTGACAATTTATACAGCCTTTGTCCACAGTTCACAGTAATTCTTTACCTGTAAGCAACCAATTCCTAATAGTGTAAAGAGTACCTAAAAACCATACTTGAGTAAAAGTACAGATACCTTACAGTGAAAATTACTCCACTACATGTTACAAGTCACCAATTCCAAAACAACTTGAGTAAAAGTCTTAGAGTATCTGATTTTAACAGTACTTAAGTATTTTACTTATACTAGAAGCCTTCTTGCACTGGATGTGCTGGTTGCGGCCTTATTACCGGCTGCAGTCATGTCCTCATCTCATATATAAAAAACCTCTGATTCACAAATACTTGCTAAGGAACTCGCATTCATGTAAAGTAGCCTTGTTGACAAGTTTGGGTCAGTAAGGGCAAAACGCAGTACTTTCAGTGACCTGTAGCAGGCAGTAGCACGTCTTTTGTAGCAGAAATAAACTGCTGCAGAAAAAGCTAGGTCCATGCAAAATGTAATGTGTAACTGCAAAACTCATTTCAAATGTAGTGGAGTAAAGAGTACAGATACTCGTTCAAAAATGTAGTGAAGTAAAGAGTAAAAGTTTCTAATATCTTTGATACTCAGTACAACTACAAAGTACCCGAAAAGATACTCAAGTACAGTAACTAAGTACATTTACTCCAATACTTTACACCTCTGCTAATTACACTCAACTTCCTGTTCACTTTAGCTAAGCTAACCAAATAGTTAAAATGGAAGGGATGTTTTTAACAGCTTTGAGATACAGTAGTGCAGTGAGAGGGGCTGGAAAGAGAGAGAAAGCTAGAGAGAGTCCTCCACCTCCTCTCACACCTCCACAAAAGCACAGGACCGACACAAGGTGGGAGAGCAGGTCGCCATGGCAACTGACGATTGGCCTCTAAGGAGAGTCACACACATCCCCCAGACTTCCTCAATTAGCTGTACACACACACACACACACATATGTTAGGGAGGGCTAGTGCTTGCTCTGGATGGACATTTTGGTTGCTCATTAACACAGGGTGAAAACAGTTTATTTCTGGATTGTTTAAAACATTAATTATCACATGTATTTTGTCTTATTTAACCTTATATCTAATTTATTCCATATATTTAGCTGTATATTTGTAGTCTGTGTAGTGTAGTCTCCTTATACATCAGAAGTCACACACTCTGTATCCACTTGGGAATGGTGACCACCATTTCTGTGGGCAGGTCATTGACATGCTGGTGCATTGTTACCTCTGGCCCAGTGCTGGTTTACTGTGGTGGATCATTTTTGCCATGTAAGCAGCAGAGCGTGAGGACCAAAATATAATGCTCCTAGCTAGACAACATGGTATGTTCACTACCATCCTGGCATTTCTTCATCTTTAAGAGGCTTTTAGATCTCTATTAAGTCTCCTGAGCTATGAAAGAGCAACCTCTGAGCAATAAAAATCAATCAGTGATTGTTTATTTACTTTTGTTCACCCCCAGAGGCACGTTTTATTGCTCAGAGGTTTGTATTTCATTGCTGAGGAGACTTCATGGAGATCTTCAGTTCATGTCATTTAAGTATCAACTTTGTCTCAGGTGTTTCTCCTATAAGTACTTTTATTATTTTTAGGAACCATTTTGCCCATACAGCAAAAAATACAGGGAAAATATATTTTTAAATGCTTTGAAAATATTATATATATATATATATATATATAT